CCGAGTAAGCCAGATGGGGGTCGTTCGGCATGATATCGGGGTCTAGATTGGTGACTGTCGCGTATGAGACGGGCCGTCTATTGCATAGTCGGGGTGGGTGGACAGGCTCATTGGGAATAGTAGGATTGTCGCTAAGTGGAGCGGCTCAGGGGTTGTGTGACCGGGTAGTGCGGGGGGGGAGGGAGAGGGTAGTCGGTGGTTGCAACGCTTGGGGGATAGTGGTCATGCGAGATGCGAGTTTTGTCCGGGCGGTGAGGCCTCTTGGGTGGCTGGGGTGGCGGAGTGATCGGGTCGTGCGGGCTCACCTGCACCAGTTGCTTGCGGCCAATGCGCTGCAGGGCGGGGCGCCGGCGCCAACGAGCGCCTGTTTATCGTGGATAGGCGCACCCTCCGTCTGGGCTTTTTGACTGAGTACGGCCGTCGTTTTGCCTGTATGGACGCGCGAGGGTGAGAGAGATGCGGGGGCTCCCTGGAAGGGCTGAGCTTCAGGTGGGTCGCCGCGTTAGTATGAAGGCTCGTGATGGCCTTACGTGCGCGTTCGATGGCTAATAGCCGTCCCACTACGTGAGGCCCTGGGGAGCGAGAGTTGCGGCCGATTGTGACGTTTTCTGGCTGGCCGTGGCATGAGGAACTCGAACGTCGCGGCGTCCGCTCGTCAGCGCGCGTGCAGGCGCTCGTCGCCTCTCTCCGTCCCCAGCGGGCTCCTGGCGTGTCACGCGAGTGCAGGGCCGCTCGCGGTCCTATGTCCTGGCTCTTGCGGTGCTGGGACGGTCGTCCCGTCGATCACCTTGTTGTCTGTGCTGCGTGACCTCTTCTAGAGCCCGCATTGAGCGTCCCGCGGAGTGGGCCCCCCGGTACGTGAGCTCGTTTGCTACGGTAGGAGCCTGGAGGTTGCAAGTCTTGTCCCGTGGCGTATCCTTGCTTGTGCTTGGCTTGAGGACAAGTGTTGACTAGTGCGGGCTTAGTCGGCGAGCTGCGTGTGGCCGGGCGGCGGGACGGCTCGGGGGTTGGCGGGGTGTGGCGTCCTGGCGGGGTGGTCTGGTGGCGTGGGCGCGGCTTTGGGGCGGCAGGTTCGGTTGGTTCAGTGGGGCGCGGCGGGTGGTTCGGTGGCGTGGAGGTCCTGGCGGCGGTGGTGCGGCCTGCGGTTCCGCATTCATCAGCGGGGGCATGGGTTCAGGGCCGGCGAGTCCGTAGTCGCCTATGCTCTGGTTCGCGGGCGGGCCGCTGTCCTCGCTCGCACTTGGGGGGGCGGCGCAATGTTCGGCAGACGTGCTACTGACGCGGCACTTCCTGGGCAGGGCGGCGGCAGTGGCCCTGTGCGGACGGGTCGGCGTGGGCGGGGTAGCTTGTGTTACGGTCATGCAGGAGGGCGTCCGGGGTGTCGATGGTGCGTGTTCGGATAACCTGCGGGTCCAGATCCGGGGCCCCTCCCGGCGCGCCTGGGTAGGTTGCGGAGCCTCTGCGAGATCCCGCCGGCATGCTGCCGGGTTCAGCCCCTCCGGTGCGCGGGCCGCGGTGCCATCTAGCGAGCTCAGGAGTCCCGATCTCCGCGGGCGAGGGCGCTCGCGCTTGCCAGCTCGTTGTCGGGGTCAAGCCCTGGGCTGGCCTGGGGCCGGCGGGCTGCCTCTGCCCCCAGGTATGCGGTGCTAGCCAGCGGGGGCTGTGCAGGACAGGCTTCCGCTCATGCTTCCTTTCGCATTGCGCAACGTTTGGGTTACATTTTCATGGGGGAATACCCCTCGAATATGCCCAAGGGTTCTCCAGAGGAGTTTTGGAGCGCTGGCTCATCGAGGTACTGGAGTAAAGGGTGTTAATCAGGACATGACTCTCCGCTATGCATTCTTCGCCCGCTGCGCCACCAATCGTGCTTTATAGGGGCTCCGCCTTAACCTTTATTTTGAGGCCGTGTGGATACGTTATTAACATACTAGGTCAGCTTAGTATATGTATGGAGGGATAATGACTATAGATTAGTACTTATGTCAGATCTTTTAAGTTATTATGTTATGGATAGTGGGGTGCATTGCTCTATGCACTTGCACGATGGCTGGATGTAGTGGCAGACACTGGCTATTTAGCTCAGGCAACATTTGGCTAGTCCTCGGCTAGGCTTAATCGTGCTCTATATGTGTCCTGTCTATGCTCTGCGTTCAGCAAGTACTGATGGCATGGCGCCAGAGGGCTATTTTCTTTCTTTTCTTTTTTTGTGGGCTTTTTGTTGTCATAATGAGTAGAGGCTTTGGGTGCTTGCATCGTGTGAGCCGGTTGGGCTGGTACGGCACTGAACTCCCTCGCATCGGCATCTATGCTGCGCTCAGGTCGTCGGGTCTTTTGAGTTCTGGACACATACTGCAAGCGGTCCTCTTGTGGTAGGCCATACTGACGAGGATATGTCTTCTAAAGCCCTTAGTATCTTAATAGTCCTATACTTCTATGCTTTAAGCTGAGCGCACTTGAGGATTCTATTTCCGGATCTGCTGATCCGCCTCTGTCTCCAGTCCTTGTAGTAGTAGGTTATAGTTCCTTCCGTTAGAGTGTGGTTTCGCACTTGACGCCGTTGTTGCGTTCGGGACTTACGGCTTTCCTCCTTTTCTTTCATGGCGTCTCGCTGCTTTTTAATCCGTTCTCTTATAGGATATTTATTGTTTCAGGCTTGCTGCTTTCCTTGGGAATTATATTAGCTGTCGGATTCAGATTCGGCTTCATGCCCATAAAAGATACGGCCGCTCCTTTATCTCTATCCATCG